TTCGGAAGTCACTAGTGAAGGAAGTCGCTGGCTGGAGGACTTGAATGTGGAAGAGGGGCTCCAACCTCAACCTTCACTATCTACGGACAGGAAGTTTCATTCAAGGGCTCACACACCCGGAATCTCTAAGCCCTGAGTCTGGCGCATGGCTGCCCTGTGATTGTTGGAATAGTTAATGATACCTTTTCAGGGAAAGAATGTTTAAACTCCTTGTTCCAACTATGAAGAGGTAAAGCTCTGGATGCCAAGGGGTCCCTGATAGGAAGAAATTGACTCATGTCTCTAGCAAATCAAGATGGATGGCCAGGTAATTAGCACTCACTGACAAATGAACAATATTAAATAATAGGATGAAATTACTGTACCTGGTGTATTGTGTGAGTATCTTAACTTCTGTGAGTGAGTGAAACTTCTGCAAGAAGAAGTCATGAATTTTTAACCACAGTTCTGGGCAAGGTGTCCGTGACTTCTACCTTTCTCTGTGCATCAGAGGCTGAGCTATGGTGGCTGTGTTTGGCCAATTTTTATGTATCTCCACCCCTTCCCACAGACCTCAATTTGCCACCCCTGAGGAGATACTGCAGTTTTTCTATGAGAGAACAAAGACCCGTGAAAGTATTTTTGTATGAATAATGGAGGTGTGGGATCAGATGGAAAACGAGAGACCTGTTTGGTAGATAAGATGTGCTGTGAGAATAAAGAAGGCCTTGGAGTTATAGACTGAGCCTCCAGTCCAGGTTCTAGGCCTTAGGGCCTGGGTGATTTTAAGCATATGTCTTTATTTCTTTGAGACTCATTTTCCTCTTCTGTAAAATAGTGTTAATGTTACCTTCTCAGGTTGTTGTGAGGATCAAATACTGTTTAAAGTTCCTGTAAAATGGGAGGTACAAAGTAGACTCTCAGTAATGGCTTTTCTCTTTATTAGTTAAAGGCAGAGGCAACTAATCTGATTCTATTTTAGCTAGCTTGGTATTTCCTGTTTCCAATAGTGAGGCGAAAACTAGAAAGAATATTAAGAATTGGTCTGTTTGGATTATAGAAAGTGCAGGATCTAAATTTTTACAAAATCATCCAATTGTATCAGATGAAGCATAAGGCTACATGCTCACAGTGAAACAAATGCGTTCAAGGTTAGCTGATAAGTGGCATAAAGTATGATTTAGATAGTAAGGGTGGAGACTTTCTTCTTTAGAGTTCCCGGAAACAGCTGCTCTGCTGTGGCATGTACCACACCAGGAAGTGCTGAAAAATGCTTGTGAAGTATTTTACTGAAGCTCCTTAATGCATACACACACACACACACACACACACACACACACACACACACGCACACACACACACACACACACACATGCACATGCACATATAATCGATTTGTATAACTGTCATCTCTGGGTCTTTGAGAATGAATCTGACAAGAAAAAAGCATAGTCAAGTGAAGCTTTTGCTTGGATTATGAAGCCTAGGTTTGAGCACTGATTCATTCTTCATTATCATCAAGAACTCGTGCCTGGGCAGGGACAAAGATGAGAAGGAAGTAAATAACAATGTGAACTGTGATTTTTTTTTTAAACCCATGCTTTGTTTTTTGTGTTTTTATTTCTTATTACTTATGTTTCAATTTTCCTTAATACACATCTTTAAACAAAAATTAACATTTGCTGTATTAGTCACTTTCCTGTCCCTAGGACAAAGTGCCTCACATGTACAGTTTAAGGAGGAGAGACTTATCTGGGCTGAAGCTTTCAGAGAGTTCAGGCTGTGGTTACTTGGCTCCAAGACAGGAATGGCACTGTGGAAAGGCGTAGTGGAGGAAAGCAGCTCACCCCACAGCAGCCAGGAAGCAGGGAGCGGGGAGGGAGAAACACAAAACACCCTTCATGTCCCCAGGGGCCCCCCTCCCCCGGGCCCTACTCCTAACAGAACACTCGGCTGTGAACTCATCAATGGATGAATTCACTCAGGTATAGTGCCTCATGGTCCAGTCACCTTCCCCTGAACATGACACTTTTGGGGGTCATAACAATTACTTTTATTCTTTTGTTTTTGAGACAGGGTCTCGCTATGTAGCTCGGGCTGGCCTTGAACTCACTATATAGCCTAGGTTGGCCTCGAACTCATGGCAGTCCTCCTGCCTCAGCCTCCCAAGTGCTGGGATTACCGTCGTACGCCATCACATCTGGCTACTTTACCTTTTTAACCCTAATCTCTTAATGCATGGACATATGGACATGCATGCATCCCTCCTCCCCACCGCTCCACACACCTGTGAGATGCATTCTAGTCTAGGCTGAGCTACATTAGAACATTAAACATGCACCTGACATATTGAACAATAGGTCCTATCTCAGTCCTGGGGACTTGAATAATGATGTGTCGTAATAGGGTCCAAAGGGGTTTGGTTCTTTTATCCTATGAGTATACAAACTGGCCACACAACCCTGTCATGTGCATGGTATTGAATTTTGATATTGGTTAAAGTTTCCAGAAGGTGTGAAAATATTAATAGATAACACCTTTGGGCTTTGTAAATCAGAGTGACGTCAGGCCATTACTGAAGGAAAAGTTCCCACAGTCGGGCTGTGTGGCTTCACCAAGCACCAGGCAGTGGAATTCAAGGAAACCTACAGCTGTTTGACTGAACAGGCAACAGCCAGATCCTATACCTTCAGTGTGAGGATGTGATGAAGGCCCAGGGTTGGAACCCCACCAACAGGTGCTTGAGGTCCTGGGGAACCCCAAGAGTGAAGAAATGAATGTGAAGGTACTGGACTTTGAATGCCTTCTGCCCCTATTGCAGAGGTTGGCTTGTTGGTTGGGCAGTGCTGAGGATCAAACCCAGGGGCTTGAGCAACACCCCCAGCCCTTATTTTTGGTTTAAAATGGTGATGGACCAGGAAACAAAATAAGCATATTTCGTGTAAGTCTAAGGCAGATTAAAGTACAGTGTTACAGCAAGATTGAGATTAGCACTGAGACAGCACTTAGGATATGATCGAGGGATGGGATGTGCATACAATGGAAGACTTTGAGGCTTCAGAAAGCATGGTTTAATATGGAAAGCATTCCTTTAAGAGTTAGGCATCACCTGGATTTAAAGGGCTGTAGTCAGGAATGACTGGGAAGATATGGAGAATTTTAGGTAAGACCACAAGACGAAGGAAGATAATTATCAGAATAAGTATATTGGTCAGCTTTCCCATTGCTGGGACAGAATACCTGATGCCTATAATTTAAAGGAGAAGAGGTTTATTTTGGCTTGTGGTTTCAGAGGCTTCAGTCCATGGTTGGTTGGCTCTAGGCAGGAAGAGATATACATACTCTCCCAAGACTCAAGCCAGTGTCCTACGTCCTCCAGTTGGGCTCCCCCTCCCAGAAGAACATCAGCTGGATTGATCCACTCATGAGTACAGCACCCCTACGAGACTCTCCGGGACTCTCTTAATCCAGTCAAGTTAACAGTGAACAGTAACTGGCCCAATAAGTTAGGCAGAAACTGGGGAGGGATGAGGGGCAGTGCTTATTAGTGGGGAAACTTTTAGGGAATGAATGACCAACTATGAAGCTTAAGCAAAAACGAGACTTCATGAACTCCTGAACGTGAAACTTGGCTAAATGTGAAACTCCTGAAGGCTAAACTTGGCTGTGGGCAGGGCTGGGCCGGGATTCATGGGTGTGGTATGGGGACCCCCCCCCAGTGGTGTGCAGTCTCCAGGTTGTGAGCAAGACACACATTTTGGAGCTCGGTGAACAGGGAAATAGGCTTTTCTGTGAACCTCAGTGAATTTCCAAAGGTCCGAGGCCCAGCCTGAGTCACAGGGCCAACCTTTGCCTGGTCACTGGTGGGACTGGAATGGGATGGGACAGGTCTGGCTGGCTGAACCCCATGGAGCTGGCTCATCACCCCCAAGAGGAGCTCTGCTCCCCGAAACAAGGCTGGCGGCAGGAACAGATCACAGCAGGCAGCGAGCGCTCTGCCTAACCTCCCCGCACCATCTGCCGCCACCTTCTGCTTCAGCCTGACACCAGGCCCCCAGGTGACTGCGGGGTCATGTGACCACACTAGTTCCTAGAAACCTCATCTGACACAGAGAGTTGTCCAGGGGACCAAGCACCGGCGTGCCGTTATTTCCAAAGGTGTTGGAGCCTGCCAGAGTTCTCAGAGTTGGGAACTAACCCAGTGAATAGGTGACCTGCGAGTACTGAGCAGACGTTCTGCTCTACTTTACCATAGGCAGCCCTCAGCCCAGTGGGATTGTGTACTGGATCCCTAGGAGAAAATCCTCACCAGCAGTTTTAGGGATTTTTCTGTTTTCAGAAGCACGCGGGTGTCCTTCAAAGACTTTGGGGTGTGGAGGCCTGCGGCCCCGGGCCGTGAACCTGTGAGGACAAGGAGCACGGATTCCTAGAACACCCCCGAGGTCCTCTACCGATTCTGATCGCGCTAATGCAATTCTTGCAATTCGGGGCTGGCTGTTGGAGAGGGGCCAGGAATGGAAAGGAGCATCTGTGGACCTCGCTGCTTTAGAGGCCGGGTGTCTTACTCGAGCTTCGGCGTAAAGAAAGCAGGGGCCGCTGCTAGCAGCAAGTAGGACTATAACTCATCATATTTACTGCCACGCTCTTGTTTCGTAAAAACATTAATTCAGTAGAAGTTAGATTCCAGAGGAAAAATGGATCGTTTATTGTTATCCATTCGGGCTGAAGCACAGCAGGTGGATTTTCCAAATTGCTTCACTTGATATTTCCTGGAAATGTAAGCTAACATTACTCCACTTTTTTTTGGCAACTGGAAAGTTATATTTGAACATTCCACAAATCAGCTGGCAGGACTGGAAATTTCGAACACTTAGCCATCTCTTTTGAGCTTGACTTTTGTTTTGTTTTGAGACAGGGTCTCACTGTGTAGCTCTGGCTGGCCTCGAACGTGCAGTGATCCTTCTGCCTCAGCCTACCAAGTGCTGGGATTAAAGGCTTGGGCCACCAGCCCCAGCCTGAGCTTGATTTTTGAGTTGACTTTTTTTTTTAACTGTGAGATGGTCCATTTTTAGATCTGGAAATAGTCTCAGAAAATTTAAGTCTTTTGACCAAGGCCAGACTGGGTAGAATATGAATAATCTATGTATCGGGCCTGGGGATATTGACTAGAATCCAGTTCTTTCTCTTTCTTTTTTTTTTTTGGTTTCTGGGGACTGAACTCAGGACCTTGTGCTTGGCAGGCAGGTGTGGTGCACTGAGCTAAATCCCTGGGCTAGTTCTCTTCCATTTTGGAATGATGTGTCAAAAGTGACATGACTTTGCTTAGTGCAGGGAACAAGTGAGGTTTCTTAGCATCTGCCTTCTCTTCCTGGCTTTTCCTCTGGTTCCTGCAGGACTCTTACACTGTGGTGTCTGCCCCAGTAAGGTCCTCTCCACAGCAAGCAGGAAAAGTTGCGAATCTCTCACTCCTGTACAGCATGTTCCTGCTACGCTGGGCAGATCCAACAGCAAGTCCACCAAGCCCATAGTAAATACCACATTCCAGGTAATGACGTCCTTTGATCTTTTCAATTGGAAATACTAGACCTAACTAAGCAAACTGAATCCAAGCAAATACCATCAGTTAATTATTTCTTAATTGTTAGGCTTGTCTGGTCTTCCCCAAGTTGTCTCAAAGATACCGCTTAAATTCACTATTTTAGCATGCTTCTTTATTCAATAATCTTTCGGGTTATTCTTCAGTGTTTTTGCTTGCTTGTTTTCAGAGGTGTCACACGCATCCCCTGTATTACTCTGTATCTTTGGGATTATTTACTGCCTTGGCTTGGTGATAAAATTGTGGGTAACTCTTAGGTTGATAAACATCTAGGCATTTTCTCAGGGAGGGAGAATTTAGGGAAGAGGTGAGAAACAGATGGATTTGGATTTAGACTTGTTTACTTAGGGGCCTCTGCACACCCAGATAGATGGAGCCAAATCATCTGAAACTCAGAACTGAGTTCAGAGCTAGAGGTGGATCTTCAGAATTATCAGCTTGTAAGAAACAGGTGAGACCACAAGCGAAGATATATCCATCCAGAGGAGAAAGCACAAATTAAAAAAGACTGGTAGTGAGGGCAGGTCAGAGAAAGAAGATCCGAGTGGTCTTAGAAATGAGAATTCTGGGGGTGAGTCTTGTTTTTGGAAGTTGCAGCAGGAGTCGGGCCATCGTGCTGTCACTGACCTCAGAAAACTCTTCTGTGGAGCAGGGCGGTGACAGCTGGACAGTGGTGGAGGGAGCTGCAAGGGGGCACGGGAAAGTGAGTAGGGAAAGAGGTTTTTGTCCATTCGTTTGTTTTTTCAGTACTACGGATTGAATCCAGGCCCTTTGCACTGAGCCACGACCCCAATCCTTTTTAAAATTTTTTGTTCTGAGACAGGGTTCTACCTACGAAGGTGCCCAGGCTGTACTCGAACTTGCAATCTTCCTGTGTCACAGCCTCCCAGAGAGCTGCAGCTTTCAAAGCTTTAACATCCTTTTATTTTCCCTTGGAGGTTAGATATGGTGGACACTTGCGGAACTTATTTTCTGTCTGGGATTACAGGGCTAAGTGGAAAGGTTTTTCAGGATGGAGGGTTGATCGTGTTTCTTTGGGAGCAGAGCTGGATGGGAAATGGGGAGAGGGAGAAAGAGGAGAGAGGAGAGAGGAGGGAGAGGAGAGAGAGAGAGAGAGAGAGAGAGAGAGGGAGGGAGAGAGAGAGAGGGAGGCTTCCTACAGTTGGCATGAGGCTAGAGGTTTCAGGGTTTTGGGGTCGCCTCAGGAGCACAGTGCTGTCTTGAGAGGGGTACACACTCCTTTAGCTGGAGGAAGGAGGCGAGTGAAAATGTAAATCAGGAAGTAAAGAGGACCAGAGTGGCAGAAGTTATCAGTCCGGACCACCTCTCTCCGTGGTGAAGCCAGAGGCTGGGTCCTCTCCTAAGTGTGGAAGGGTGGTGGGAGTCTTTCTAAACTGGAGCATACGGTGTACCGAGCTCTTGTGGACCTTGTGTTACTTTTCCATTTTGAAACTAAGTCATTTTTCACCTTCTTCTGAATCCCAAAACATGTATATGAGCCAAAAGCTTGTGCGAAAGGCCAAAGGGAGGTCTCCAGCCCGGCTTGTGGAAGTCACCCTGGGACCTGCAGACCTGCCCAGGCCTTTGGGCCTCTGCGGTAAATCTATGCACCATCTCTGCAGGTGGAAAGACTGAGGGCGGAGTAACGTCTGCCTTACCTACCCCATAAACCAACTCACTCTTCAAGAATGTTCCATCTTCTTAGGAGAGAAAGTAAAAGCTCCTTGGGGTAGGGAGGTCCCCTGAGAAATGCCAGTGTTCCTGTTGTAATAACAGGCTAGCAAGCCTTTTATTAGGGGCAAGTGTGACAGCCAAGGAAGGAAAGAAACGAATGCGAGTCACACAAAACCCTCAACCCGACCGTCAGCCAGCCTCATTCACGCTCAGGAAAGTGTTGTCAGGAAGCGGTATAAGTGTGCTCTATGTTTATATTTTATATAATATTTACAGATGCTCCGATGAAAAGCACAACATGGTGTAGTTTTCTCCTCTAACACGCCTCTGACACACTTGCTGTCTCTCCTCTCCTGCTAACGCCCTTGCCCTCTGTCTTTAGCAGAGTGATCAACCAACCACAAGGGTAGAGACAGAAGCAAGGTAGGCTTCTGCCCCTCGGCGGAACCCTCAGAATTTAAAACTTTGCTCTGTTTCCTTTGTCTCTTGGTGCCTTTGCCCCGGGTTCCATCTCAGAGCAGATCTCAGAGTAGCTTGGAAGCCGCCTGCCTATTCTTGTCTGGGCTCCGTGCCCCACCTCAGGGTTGGGCACAGGCAGCTTTCCAAAGCTCAGGTGCAACCAGCCAGAACCTGTTTATCCTTGGCCAGTGGCCACTTTGGGGCCGCTGTAGCGCTCAAGATCCTGCTAATTGGCATGGTATCACACCTGGGTTGAGACACTGATGAAGGTGCACAACCTTGGTGGACTCTGCCCATCCTTTGACCAAATCAACACCAGACCCTTAAATATATGGTGAACTCAATGAAAAAGCAAAGGAAAATTAAAGCAAGAAGTACTGTAAAGATTTTGGCTTAACATTCCCCTCCTTTCTCCTTTGTAAAGAAAATTAATTAATAAACATTTATTAGTCCTGTATGGTTTCTAAGTTTTTTCCAGTTCTGTTGACCCCAGGGCCTTTGCACTGAGCTACATCCCCAGCCCTTTTAAAATAGGCCACCGAACCGCTGAGCTAAATCTCCAGCCCTTAAAATTTTTTATTTTGAGACAAGTTCTCACTAAGTCACTAAATTGCCTGGGCTGGATTCAAACTTGTAATCCTCCTGCCTCAGTCTCCCAGAGTGCTGGGATTAGAGATCTGTACTACCACGCCCAGGTTTCTACATACTTTTCTAAGGCTTTGTGACTCATGGACACACAAGTGGTAGTTTAAATGTACCTTTAGACTTCACGTGATTGTACCCTTTCCAGAGCAGATGTCTCCTCTCTCATGTTCCGGATCTGACAAACTCCTATAAAAGGAGATTCTTTGTTGGGTGAGATCCTGAAGCTGTTCCCCGCCACCCCGCATCCTGCTGCTTCCAGACCTGAGAGAGGACCCCTTTCCCACCTGGATTTGGGCCAGGGTCCGTCTGTTTCCTTACACTCCTCACCCTGAGCTGGAAGAAGCAGGAGCAGTCACAGTTGGGGGAAGACGTGTCGGCGGACACGGTTATGAGCCTGTGCATGGCATTTCCTCCTCTGCCCTTGAACAACTTGGAGACAGTCCACGAATATCCCCGCCACTTTTACCAAGTGTTCTGTTTTCTACTGAGACTTCAGACACAGCTTGTATCTTATTTACTGTTGGATGCATTGTGAATAGTACCGTCTTGCTTTTGAAGAGCTTACACATAGGCCGACTTCCTGATTTTTTTTCTTTCTGAGAATATAGTTCTGCCTGTAAGTAGGGAGATGAAAATCGCCTTCTAAATCTGTGGTCCTTAAGTTTGCCTCTCTCTTAAGTTCACGAGGAAACCCACAAGGCACATGTGTGTGCTGCGGAGGTGAGAGGTAAAGAGCAGCAAGCATGTTGTGCTGAACTTGGGGAACTGGGACAGCAACGTTAACCAACAGGAAGGAATGTGGGGCCGGTGAGTGGCCGAGTCCAGGGCGGGAATGGGGCCGCAGGGAGGTGCTGACCTGTGAGGGACATTCGGAGCCTGGAAATGCCCACACCTCCTGTCCTGGGACGGAGCCCCTGCGAGAGCTGGGCCCACCCTTCCTGTGAACTGTTCAGTATCCTTCAGCACATTACAGCTTCGATCAAATTAGTGGAGGTTGGCTTCTGTTGCTTGCACCCAGAGTTATACTGGCTGATCTGATTTCCCTGCCCACAAATCTGGATTTGTGACCCCCACCCCCACCGCCGCCAGCCCCATACCGGGGATTGAACTCAGGACCTTGTGCTTGTGAGTCAGATGCAGTGCCGCTGAGACAAATCCCCAGCTCCCCAGCTGCTGGCTGGACTCCATTTAGAGCCTCCGGCCCTCTGTGCTTCTCTGAGCATCTGCACGAGAGAGCAGCTCTACTGAGAGGTTTTAGGACCAGCCTACGGTGAGGGTTTCGGGCATGTGTCCAAGTGGACATGTTAAGGTGGAGAGAAATTCCCCTGAGTATGGGCCCGACATGGTCAGTGTGCAGTCTCAGTCCCACGCCTCAAACCTGGGTGATGAGAGACACTGAAGGTTTTTTTAAAAAAATGTATTTAAACACCTTAATTTCAATTTTAGCTTTTTCGACCCAGCAAGGAAATGTGTCCCCAGGCACGCTAGGCTCCTTCTAGGTCCCCCATTCCCCGAGAGACATTTGGAAGCCCAGGGTCTCACAGTGGCAGGACCCGGGGAGGTCCTGCAGCTGGCAGGCATTGAGCTGAACCGGTGACTGCTGAGGGGCCACAGCCTGGCCAGCGTGGCCCGTTCAGACTGGGCTCTGTGTTCCCTGCAGCACGGGAAGCATGGAGATTTGTTTGTTTGATTGTTGGGACGAGGTTTCACTACTAGTTCAGTCTGGCCTTGAACTCACTATGTAGCCAGGCTGGCTTCGAACTGGCAGTGATCCTCCCGCCTCAGCCTCTCAAATGCTGTGATAAAAGTATGGTGATCTGTGGCAAGGCTTCTGCCCAGATTTCCCTTGCCCTAGGTGGACAGCAAAGCTAAGAGTAAAGGTTTGATCACCTCTTAGGGCAACAGTATGGGAAGGGCTCTAGTCGCTGCTGCGTGAGGAGCTGTAGAGTTCTGACTCCCCCATCCCTCAGCTCCAGGATCTTTTAGTCTGATGAACTCCCACTTCCTTCTTATTTCTCTTATTGGATCCCCTAACACTAAGAAAAATATGTTTTTTTTTTGAGACAGGGAGGGTTTCACTACATAGTGAAGCTTACTCTGCAGCCCCAGCTGGCCTTGAACTCACGGCGATGCCCCTGCCTCAGCCTCCCAAGCGCTGGAATTACAGGTGTGCCCCACCACACCCAGCTCACCACCTTATAAATAAATCAAAGGCTTTAGCTTTTGGAAACAAAATTCAAGAAGGAAAATGTCCCATAGGCATTTGTGCTTTCTGCCTGGCCACAAACCTCTTCCTCCACAGAGCCTTCTGCGCACACAGAGGGAGGGAGTGGGTCATACGGGGTGTGGGGGGGAATTAAAAAACATTAACAGGTTTTTTGAAAGTCTCATCAACAACATCTAAAATTAATGGGGGGGGGGATAGAAGTTCTGAAATGCTATCAGCCGCCAAACAGAAGGGTTAATTGGATTTGTGTTTGATGTCACCATCGCCCGTGACTCCTTGAAGTTTCGTCAGAGACGCCACCTGATTGGCATGAAGGTCGCTTCCTCCTCTCTCACCCTCGGTTTTTCCAGGCAGGAATGAGGAGTGTTTCTTGCTTGCACTCTGTAAATCAAGTCAGCACTTCTATGTCTAATTAACACGAAGCTTGTACTCCAACGGAGGACAAATATTTGTGCTGGGAATGAAATAGCTTCTGGCCCACAGTCCCCTCCCAGGAAGTCCCAGGGTCCGGCTGCCTCGGAACACAATCCACCTGCTGTGGGCATGGCTGGCGAGGGGACCTGCTCTTTCCCTGACGCCCTTAAAGTCAGCATCCACTACAGCGTTCTGTTCCTTAGGAGCGCTGGTTCTCGGAGGCAGGGCACCCACGGCTTTGGATGCTTCTGGTCTTCGCAAATCTGTAACCACTGTTTGCCGCTTAAGTGACCAGCGGACTTGTCATCCACTTGTGACTGTGACTTGTGACTGGTTCTAGGGTCGGTTCATTCGGTGCCCTGGCGACATCGCGGGAGGCCCAGACTGTGCCTGTCTCTCCAGTGTGGCTTTGCGTGGCTGAAGTGTTTTTGAGCATCAGATCATAGATTTGCAGAGTTAGAAGACAGGAGTGGTTTCGTCTTGCTGTCTCTGCTTCATAGCAAGAGACATCTTGCCTGAGACAGGACACAAGAGGAAGGATTCGGCCAGAAAGGAATCCAGGCCACTCCCGCAGAGGTGACCTTCTGGGGTACACAGCCTCTTCAAATCCAGATCCGGGTTTTCACAGGGAAGGAAGGGGTAGATTTAGGGAGGCGGCCAGCTGTGTCTCCTTGCCAGCTCCTTTCCTCATGAGCTGGGAAAGGCCCTGTAAATGTGTTTTATGCCTTTTCTGCTTCTGTCTCGGTCCTTCTCCCTACTCCCTGGGTTCTAGGAGACGCTCAACAGCCACAGGGGTCTTCTCTGTCTGACCCCAACCCAGCAGATGCCCCATACATTCCCCAGTAGGCTCCTAGTTAAGGAGCGGAGAGACTCCTTTCTACTGGCTAGACTGGAAGAGAGCGCAGAACTCCGTCTGTCCGTCTGTCCGTACACCCATCCACTCACTCACTTCGTACACATTTGTTAGGTTCCTACTGTATGCTGAACTGGCCAGGTGTGAGGACGTAAAGGAAATCAAGGCACAGCTTCTGTCCTCAAGGAGCTGATAGAGGAAATACGTAAACAAGCAAACCATTCAGTGTGATGGTTTTCACAAAAGTCGAGAACTACCGAGGTTTTGTTCAGGGATGCTGTGGGAAAAAGAAACATTTGCAAGGTAGCCTGGGAAACTGGCCATATTTCTGATGTTTCCAAATGACGGGCTTAAAAAAATGAGTTTTTGAAGAATAATCAAAAGGCAATACGAAGTGCTGCGCATGGAAAAGGGAGGTGTGGCTATGGGTCTTGGACTCTCCAGTTTTTCAAAGCAGCTGGTGACTTTGTTTTTACTACTCTTAATCAGAAACCTCTCTTTCCAGTGTTTCATTAGAAGTGAAAATTCCATGTTAGAATATTCTCTACTCACTGCTGAATGTTTCCTTTGAACTTTGGAGGAGTTCCAGAAGAAACAAAATTTCAGCTTTGTCACCGGAGCCAGGGAGCTGGGCCAGGGGGAGACTTGGGTTGCAGAGTCCTTCTCAGTCCCCAGATAATGTGTTCCCCAGTTTCCCTCCAAACTGTCTGGTCAACCTCCTCGTCTTGTCCCTGCCCCATATTTCTCTCTGTGCTCTGCCCTGTCCTTCCTCTCGGGCAGGGCCTCTGCATATGTGACGTTTCCATCACAACCATGCAAATTATGCCCACATTTAGTTCTGCTCTGTCTCTATTCTAAGTGCCAACCCCACGGTCCCACATAATGCCTGGGTGAGTCCTCCCGACAGTACCTGCTGCCGGGAACTCCGTCTCAGCGCACCTGAAGTCATCATGCCCTCCCTCTTGGGCTCCTTCCTTCCCTCTTGATTTTTCTCCTCGTGTTTCGTCAAGGCCAACTCAAATCTCTTCTTCTCTGTGAGGCACTTTGTCACGCACCATTATTTCCGGGTTCTTCATGCCCTACATGAATTCAGGGTTTGAGTCCGCCGGCGACGGTGGTTTGCGCATGCGCAGATGAGGCGCTTGGCTCGTCAGAATGATGCAGGCTGGCATTGACCAATAGAAACAGGCCACGACGCCCGGGTGGATATAAAGGCAGGCTTGCATCCGGCTCGGGGTCTTTCCGCCATTGAAGATTGTAGAAGAAACTGCAATAAAGCGTGCATCAGAAGAATCCTGAGTGTTGTGTGCTCCTTGCTGGCGAGGTGCGCGCGACAGCACTTTCTGATTACCTTTCAGCGAACAAATAAACATTTGCTGAGTGCTTCTTATGAAACTTGACCTCTTCTGGGCCACAGTAAAGGGAGCTTACATTCCTGCCCTGGAAACGCCAGGTGCTGATTGACGGGCCGGGAAGGAACTCATATGGGCCAAGACCAGTCCTTCACGTCTCTGACACCCCGAAACTTCACTGCCTATGTAATAAAGACACCATGACAACAGCTCCTTTGAGAGAATTCGCTGGCACTGCCTGCTACTCTGAGTGCTTAATACACAGTAGCTCGATCTTCACCCTAGCCTTGGGAGGTGGCATTGGTCCCTACCCGTTTTACAGGAGAAAAAACTAAGGCACAGAGGAGTTAAAAGGTTCATCCAGGGTGACAGAGCCAATAAGTGGTAAGTTTACTTCATTATAGCTGGGAATGTAAAATTATAACAAATTCTGTGTGGGGTAAAAATAAAATGTTTAAACTTAAAATAGTGCCACGAGTTTTTATACAGTTATTTCTCAATTTTCAGTATTTTCTTAAGAATACTAACTTCCTAGAGAAATAGGAATGATTAAAAATTATAGTAATGGCATGTTGGTGCATGCCTGTAATCTCAGCACTCAGGAGGCTGAGGCAGGAGGATCGCTGTGAGTTCAAGGCCTGGATTGCATAGCAAGACCTTGTCTCAAAAAACAAAAAAATTACAGTAAACCTATTTATATGTATATATAAGCACATAGTTTTCCTTTTGCCTTTGGCCCCTATATTACTTGCCACAAGATTATCTTATTGAAACTTTTGCTCTTTTGCCTTTTAAACATTTTTATTATATATATTTGCAATTTACAATAATTCCATTCTTCCTGAGGAACTGGTACATACAAGTATAGCATTGTGGTCACTTCTACTCCCCCGCCCACTCCTTCCCCAGGTATCTCTCCCATCTCCACAGAGTCTACCTCTCTGTTTCCTACCAACTGTTTTAATTTGCTCTTTAAATTAGTTATATTTTGGGTCTGTCATATTAGAGAAACTTTCTGTGTCTGATTTATTTCACTTGACATTATGGTCTTAAGATCCATTCCCTTTCCTACAGATGACTCAAATTTATTTTTTCTTTTTTTTTTTTTTTTTTTGTTTTGTTTTGTTTTTGGTACCAGGGATCAAACTCAGGACTTTGTGCTTCTGAGGCAGGTGGCAGCACCACTGAGCTAAATCCCTGGCCCTCAAATTTATCCTCCTTTATGGCTGAGTAGTATTCTACTGCATACATATGCTACATTATCTTTATCCATTATCCATTACCTGTTGAGGGGCATATCGGCTGTTTCCATGATTTAACTATTATGAGTTATGCTGTTATAAACATGGATTAAACTTTTGCTATTTCATGCATGATGGTTTAATCTTCATTTCTAAAAAATTGCATCATATATTATTTTTCTTAATTACTGAGGTTTTTTGGCAATCTCCTTAAATCTTGTGCCTGAGATAAGTGCTTCACTTTAATAGACACACTGATGGTGGGGTAGGGTTCAAATGCGGGCAAATCTGGCTCCAAGTCTATATTCACTTCTGCTTTTTTTGAGACAGGGTCTCACTGTGTAGCCCAAGCTGCCCTCAAACTTGAGGTGATCCTCCTGCCTCAGCCTCCCCGGTGTTAGCGTCATTGTAAACTGAGAAGGGACAGACCCTGACTTGTGCAGCTGTTGTGTCAGGCCTCAGCTGAAACCCACCTGTCCCCAAAGATGTGAGACAAGAAAGTGCCTCAGCCTTTTGATGCTGGAGATCGAGCCCAGGGCCTTGTCACATTTGCTAGGCAAACACTGGACCCCGAGCTACAGCCCCAGCCCGAGCCTCTTTCTGTTGAAGCTCAATAAATTCCATAACACAAAGCCAGGTGCAGTGGCACACAACCGTGGCCCTGGTGGTGGGCAGGAGGCTGAGGCGAGAGGATTCGAGATCAGGACCAGTCTAGGCTCCACAGTGAGGTCAAGGACAGCCTGGACTAGGCGGCGAGACCCTGTCTCAAAGACCAAAAGAATAACAGCAGTCATAACAGCAATAATAATAATAAGACGTGACTCCTTTTTCTGACTGAGCCGAGGCTAATAAGTTAACAAATAAATCTAAACACCCTGGTCTTTCACTGCTCAGTCGAAGCCTCCCCAAGATCTCTAGGCCTGTGGTGGCCCAAGTGAAGAGCAAGTAACAGTCGTTTGAACAAAACCGAAGCCTGTGGCTGACTTGTGACGAGCGAGGCTGGGCTGTGCCCGACGCGGACCGGACCGGCCGCGTCCCCGGGGTTCCCGGCTTCTCCCGCTGCCTGGATCTGCGGCCCTCAGCTCTGGGCCTTCGTGGTTCAGATGAGTGCGTGGCCGGGCACTGCAGCTGCCACAGGAGGGTGAGAGGGGCCGGGAGGAGGGCAGGAGAGCCGTCCTCGTCCGTGCCCTCTTCGGGAGCTCGGGGTCTCCTTCAGCCGAGCACATTGCTCTCTCCCAGGTCGAAATCTGGGCTGTGCAGTGAAGGAAAGGGTGGTGTGGGGCGGAGGAGCGGCAGCTCCCCCCCTCCCCACAGGCCCTGCGGGTCCTCTGGCCTTTCCAGTCAGGCGCAGACACTGGGCCCTCCTGAACCTAATTAGACCACGTTAACGGAACAAGTTGCCTCACATAAAGATACTGAGTGAAAGGACTGCGATTTAGCTCAGTGGCTCGGTGCCTGCCTTGCAATCGAAAGGTCTCGAGTTTGATCCCTGGTACCAAAAAAGACAACAAGTGAAATACAGTAATGAAAATATGAAAATAAAATGCTTTCTTCAACCCCGAGTATTGTGTGTGTGTGTGTGTGTGTGTGTGTGTGTGTGTGTGTGTGAAATGTCACAGTTTTCAGAAATGTATGGCCTGGGAAGCTGGGTGTGGTGATGCATGCCTATAATCCAAGCACTGAAGAGGCTGAAGCAGGAGGATCACTGTGAGATTGAGGCCAGTTTGGTTTACCTAATGACTTCAAGACCAGCCCGAACTACAGCAAGACTGTCTCAAATAAAATAAAATGAAACATTTTTAAAAATTAGCCTTTAGAGAAGCCCTGGCTGCTTTAGTGTTGTAAGAGAACAGATCAGCAGAGTAGAATGAACGCTTATTGACGTAACTGCCACTCTTTGGCAACAACACAGTAGCTCCGAATCACACCAGTGCCGTGATTTATGCTTCCCTGCGACTCTTAAGCTGGGCGCCTGCCTCCTACACCCTCTGTATGATCCTCACCTGTGAGTGTAGTAACTTCCCACCCGGCTGGTTGTATTTTCTCTAGCACTCCTTTCCCGGATGACGGAGGAGGCAGAAGGGGAGGGTTGTCTCTCCCACTGCTGAACTACTGGGAACATGTTTTTTTAGGAGAGAGGATTAATGATAAATGCAGCAATTTCTTCAGGGTGTATTATGTAAAACCCTCTTGAGAACTCTCCTCAGGGTAAAGATCTTGAAGACAAAATAAAGGAAACAGGTAGCATTAGGAACTTCACTTTTTTTCTCCACACCAAGGGCTTTTTAAACCACCCTCCAGCTCTGCTGCAGTGGTGGGGATTGAACCCAGGCCCTTTGGCATGCCAGGCAGAAACCCCACCACTGAGCTGTGTTCCACCCCTAGGATCTCCCTTATGCTGAACATGGGGTCAGGTCCTACACCTTTTCTGCCAATCCACTCACCTTGGATTTAAAAATGTGTCCCTCTGAATAGCAGGACTCTTATGTTAAAATCCTTTAAGCAAGTTTGGCTTTGCTTGAGTTTTATTTCTGAGCGTCCTATATCTAGTAAGTTTATCTGCTACTTCTACAAAACAGCCTTTTCAGAGTAGAGCTGCTTAAAATTTGCGTATATTATGGATGCTCCCCAGACTCTGTGGGGAATAAAACACTGTTTGCGGTGCAATTAAGGAATCGTTTCATCACAGGCAGTGCAGTAGGAAGCATTGTGTCATCACCCAAGCCTGTCATTATTAAGGTTGGCCTAAGGCTAGTCTCACTGAAGAAATGGGGAGTAAGGAGGACTCACGGGAGTTGGCAGTTCACCCTGAAGATGGTTTTGCTGAGAGCGTCCCTCCCTTCTGTGTATGCCTGCTGGGGCAGATAGAGCCTCCTGCATTTGGGGGGAGAAGAGATGGATCCTGAGGGCCTGCTCCTTTCTCAGTGCAGCCTTGCTCTGTAGGGGCACATCTGTTACCTCCGGGCTGGACTCTTAAAACTCTGAACATCTATCCGAGGCTCAAGTCCATTAGGGCTTCTACATGAATAATCTGAGCAGGCTATCAAAAAATCAATAAAAATGCTGGCAGGGGTTGTGGGGAGAAAGGAATCCTTCTCTATTGTTGGTGGGAGTGCAGACTGGTGCAACCACTGTGGAAATCAATATGGAGATACCTCAAAGAGCTACAATTATAGGTTCCATTTGACCCAGCTATTCCCCTGCTGGGTATCTTCCCAAAAGAACTAAAGGAATCATACCACAGTGATATATGCTCACCCATGTTTATAGCGGCACAGTTTGTGATAGCTAAAACTTGGAAACAGCCCTGTTGCCCATCAACTGGAGACTGGATAAAGATGTGGTTTTTCTATAAAATGGAATACTACTCAGCCATAAAGAATGAGAAGCTATAGTCATTTATAGGAGAATGGATGCATATTGAGGCCATACTCTTAAGTGAAAAAAATAAGTCACATGTGTAAATGCCAAATAGTTTCTCTAGGGTGAAAAACTAGAAGTGTAAATAAGGTTCAAATTGTATAACTGATAATGTGAAATAGGAAGAAAAGGGATAAAGGAATAGGGGAAGTGGGAGGAGTAGGAGAAAGGAAAGAAGGGAATAGAAAAAATATGAGAAAATGAAAAACTGGAAACAAAGTCTTTGTAAATATGGAAGGGAGGAGGGGGTGAAGGGAAGGAATAGGGGAAAAATAAGAACCAAGGTCTGTCATGTAAAGGTGCAAGGTCCCAATGATGAATGTAACTGTACTGTGTGCTTAAAAAGTACCAATAAACTCAATGAAAAAAAATCCAAGCAGAGAATATAGTTCAGTAGGCCAACTAGGTTAGGGTGAATCGGCAAGAGACTCAGCCTCCAGACTCACTGAGGAGGGGAACAAGAATCGGTGCAGAGGGAGTGAAGGTGCTGGGAATGGTAGACAACAGCGAGCTGTGTTTTCCAGGAAGACGGTGATGTTTTGGAAATGAGGTGACCAGAACTTCAGGGAGGTGAGGCAGACCCTTCTGAGGACAAAGCAGCAGTTAACAATCATCTTTCCTGTCAGTATCCAGGCTCCATGAAAGTACAACAGCAGAGACGGAAAGGTAGAGATGGGAGGGTTTAAAGTGGACTTCTAGTCTTAGATTTTAGTGTCAGCAGGTTAAGTTGCAAAAACTGTGGAGACCATGAGGAATGTGATTCAAAATACAAACAGAGGCTCAGACAGGAGTGGCTGTGACATGGTCTTGTCCTGAGGGAGCCAGGGGACCAAATGTGACCTTGTAAATCACTCAGGGCTTGGACAGGCTTCCAAGACTGAACGGACACTCGTAGAGCCACATGCCAACATTGGGCTTGGAAGGTCTACAGCGACAGGACCACCTCTCTTCCCCCTGCTATGGTGGTATGGCCCATGCTCCCAAAATACCCTTGTATCTCCATTTTCGTGCTGTGTTGCCCGAGTACCTGCCCTGACTTTTCTCTTGCTAAACTCTGCTCTACCACATACTTGCCTCCTCAGAGAGCTAATTATAAGCCTCTATTTTAGTGCCTACTTACAACGAACGCATGTGTCAAGAGCAGCACATACCTATAGAGAAACGGAAAAGGGTGTAATTTCTAAATGGTGACGCAGCAGCGCTCTCTCTTAGATATGCACCACCGGCTGAGTGATGGTTCAGGGAAGTTGAAATCCGTCATGTCCGGCCAGAGCAGGCCAAGCAGATGCCCAATAACTGTTCTTTGGCGATGACAATGACCTCACGCAGGTTTGTTTGCGTCGTTTACTATTTATATGAATAGGCAGAGAAACTGCTGTGTTCATCAGGATCAACACTCGGGCTACTGCACCGTGGCAACCCCAGATTCACACCACCTTTCTGTCTTCAGGAGTGGTGTTTCTGATGTGACACTAGCTTGGAATGTTTGAGTTTTGGGTCTTGTAGAGTTGTGTGAAGTTTGAGATTTTTAGTGAGAGGCTTTCTTGTCAATGCTGCAGTCTGTTTCTGACCTTTGGCCTTTGAGCCAATTCTGATTTATAGGAATGTTATCACTTCCTCTTCTGCACCTTATGGATATGAGGACAGGGAGGAAAGTAGACACAGGAACCATGAGAGTGGCTGTTTATCTGCACCTCTGATTCTGAAGAAGAAAATCAGCTCTTCCAAACAGTCATCTAGTCAGGGTCTTGAGCTCTGTACAAATAAATGCTCATCCTCTAAATGCAAATAAACACAAGCTGAATATGTATAGAGCTTTCAGGAGATTTTATGTTACAGACAGTAATATCCGCAGGACTGAGAAAAGTTTCCAGGCCTTTCAGAGGCCCTAGTTTCTGTGGATCACACAGGCTTGTGTTGCTGGAAACTGCTGTTCTGTCCGTTGTCCATCTTGAAGATGGGTTGAATGTTTCATCATATTGGCAAGCAGGGGAATGTTTTACCTGCTTGACTAGTTCTCACTATTTTATTCAGGTTTCAGTCAAATGTTTCTACACCTTGCTGGGTGTGGGAGGCTGTGACTCACAGGGAGAGAAGGTATCACTCTGTGTGCACATCCTGGCTGTTGCAGGGGGCCTGAGGACTCCCTCATTCGGGCTGGGTGCCATCTTGTTCTTGTTCCTCCCCTCGTTCTCTGTGTGTGGACATGTGCTTGGCTACTCGCTCCCGAGAAAACCAGTCAGTTGAGTATTCAAATATTAAGTTAATTCTTCTTTGCTCAAGTGGCCAAGCAAGTTTTTACTAGAAACATACACTGGTACCTGAGGAAAGAGGGGGTGGGGAGAAGAGAGCTTGAATTTAAAAGGCAAAGGAAACTAGGAAATAGTTTTAAAATGTTGACTTATGAGTTTGGTGATATGTTTCCATTGTCCATGATCTTTGTGCTCTACACAGGAGTAGACCAAGAAAAAAAAAAATCTTTGTTTTTTTTGTTTTTGTTTTTGTTTTTGTTTTTTTGGTACCAGAAATAGAACTCAGGGCCTCACACTTGCCAGGCAGCTGCTGTGCCACTGAGCTACATTCCCAGACCCAAGAAAATATCTTAATAAGAGTAAACTCAGATTCATCTACTTGTTCCAAGCAGCTTACTTTTTCCTGCCTGGCTCGCTGAAGCTTGGAGAGGCCTTTGACCAGGGCCATCTGAATCATGTGTCACAGTGTGCCTCTTACACCTCTTGCCCCACCCTGGTACAGCTCAGGCGCTGCCAGGGCTTCAGCGCTGAGCAAGCACTAAGCTGGGCTTGGGAGGAAGCAGCTGACCAGGCCCTGCTGTCAATGACCAGTGAAGCCAGGCATAGGGCACCCTTGGGTACCCCTCATTCTCAGAGGCTTATTCACCCCCAGTGCTATTTCCTACTGCTTCTAGAGCTGGAGTAATTTGGTCAAAGCTTTTTCTTTTCTTTTTTTAATATTTAGTGTTAGTAATCTATCAAGAGTTAAACCCAAAGGTGTTAAATCAGGCATCTAGTTAGCTGGTCCCAAAGGCAACTGTATAGGGGGCAGAGAAGTTGCTTAAAAACATTTTCAGGACCAGAGGGCTTCACTGGTCCCTTCTAATAAACATCTAAAGAAGAATTAACACCAAATCTTTCCTGTTTTTCCAAAGGATTCAAATAAGAGGGAATATTTCCCTAACTCATTCCAGGAGACCAGACTTACCCTGATACTGAGGCCAAAAAAAGACACTGCGGCCAAAAAAAGACACTGCAAGAAAAGCAAACTACAGATAACTCTCTGCTGCAAACACAGAGTCAGAAGTCCTCAAAAGAACACCATAAAATTGAACTTAGCAGAGAAGGAAGTGGATTATATACCGTGACCAAGTGGGATTCATTCCTGAAAGGCAAGGATGGTTTAATATCTGAAAACCAATCAGTGTAGTGTAAAATGTCCCATTAGTAGAATCAAGGGGAAAATCATGTGATCACTTCAGTTGATACAACTTTTCATGATTCAAAGCACTCTGAGTTAGGAATAGAGGGAAATTTCCTCACACAGTAGAGATCATATATGAAAACCTCCCAGCTAATATTACTTAATGGTGAGAGACTAAAAACTTTGCTAAGATCAGCAGTAAGACAAAATGCCCACTTTTACTAACATAGTATTGGCAGTATCACAATAGACAATAAAAAGAAAATGTATATTTTTTCTGTTTAGAGATGACATGACCTTACATGTAGATAACGCTAAAGATTCCACACATTAAAAAAACAAAAAGAAGAAGAAAGAAAAGAACTAGAAGCTATATGCAGTAGTGGATACCTATGATCCCAGAGCTCAGGGAGGATCTAAAGTTTGAGTCCTACTTGGGGAATTTAGTGAGACCCTGTCTCAAAATTAAAAAAAAAAAAAAGCAGGAGCTGGAGGTGTTGCTCACTGCTGGGTTCAATCCCTAGTACCACACCAAAAACCAAGCCAAACCAAAGACAAATAAGCAAAACCCAAAACAGAGCTAAAAATAAATTCAGCAAAGTTGCAGGCTCTAAAATTAATACACAAAATAAGTTTCATTTCTACATATTAGCAGTGAGAAATCTGAAAGGGAAATTAAGAAAATTGTTCATAACACCTCGTAATAAATTTAACCAAGGAGGCTAAAGATGTCTATCCTGAAGATTACAAAACACTACTGAAAGAAATTAAAGAAGATTAAACAAAGGAAAAGATGTGCTTGTGTGGACTGGATTATTTAACATTGTTAGGATGAAATTACTACACCCCCAAAAAAGAAACTACTACCTGAACCAATCTGCATATTCAACAAAGTCTCTATCAAAATTATGGTGGTGATATTTTTTTATAAATAAAAAACATTCTAAAATTTATAAAGAATCTCAAAGCATTCTAAATGACCAATATAATCTTGAGAAAGAACAAAATTGAAGGTCTCACATTTCTGATTTCAAGACTTACAACAAAGCCATTTGAATGGCTATTATAAATAGAAAATAACTGTTGGTAAAGGTACAAGATCCCAATGATGAATGTCTGTACTGTGTTTGAAGGTCTCACATTTCTGATTTCAAGACTTACAACAAAGCCATTTGAATGGCTATTATAAATAGAAAATAACTGTTGGTAAAGGTACAAGATCCCAATGATGAATGTAACTGTACTGTGTACTTAAAAAGTACCAATAAACTAAATAAGATATATATATATATATATATAAAAGAAAATAAGTGTTAGTGAACGGAGGTGAGGAACTGGAACCCTTGTGTGCTGCTGATGGGGCTGTAAAATGGTGAAGTGGCTATGGAAAACAGTGTGGTATTTCCTCAAAAAGCTAACCACAGCATTGCCATGAAACCCAGCAACTCTCCTAGGCATATAAAAAATTGAAAAGGGGTATTCACTCAGACCGTGTACAATGGTGTTTATAGCAGCATTAGTCACAATAGCTGAAAGGTAGAAACTGCCCAGTGGGTGGATGGGTTAAACACTTATGATTAAAAAAAAGAAAAAAGAAATAAAATTCTGATACATGTGATGGCATGGGGGAATGGAAACTATGTTATGACAAGTGAAATAAGCCAGGCAAAAAGAACAAAGAAGACAGGAGTCCACTTACACTAGGCACCTAAAATTGGCAAATTCATAGAGACAAAAAGTAAAATAGACCTTGCTGGGGACTGGGAGAAGTGGAAAGGGTACTTATTGCTTCACTTGAATTATGCTTTTGTTTAACAGTGATGAAGTTCTGGAAATAGATAATGGTCATACATGCACAACATTGTGAATATACTACTTAACACCATTGAACCATTGACTTAGAACTGGTTGCAATGCTACATTTTACATTATGTGAAGTTTGCCATAGTAAAATTCTTTTAGAAAACACATTCCATCTGGTGTGGTTGCACTCTCCTGTAATCTCAGCACTCGGGAAGCCTGAGGCAGGAGGATCTCAAGGTCGAGCCCAGCCTGGGCAATTTAGCTACATAGGGAGACCCTGTTTCAAAAATAACAAATAAAAGAGGGCTGGTGATGACATTTAGTACAAAGGCCCTGGAGTTAATACCCAGAAATCATGAACCACACCAACATGTTTCAGGGCCTCACCCTTAGAACTGATGGGATGGGTGCAAAATGGGGTGGGAACCTGGAATCTGTAATTTTCAAAAATGCCTCCCTGTTTTTCTCAGACATAGCCAGGTGCAGAAATGAGTTTTAGTCCTGGCCACTTCTCTCCAAAGGGACTGGAGCCAGTCTGGGGAAGGACCCACTGGACTCCATGAAGTACACGTGCATTATTCATAGATCTAAGCATGTGAAACTGAAGTGCTGCTTTAAAATCTGAGATTGTAGTGGTTGTAGGGCTTCAGGGTTAAGGTGCCCAGTCATTCGTGAAATGGTGGCGATCATAGTTCAGGTTGCATTTTAAATGTCTGTGCTTGGCAAGTAAAAATGAGCAGTCCTAGGTCGGTCTCTCAGCATTTTAATGCTTCTTTAAATTCCAAAGTCAGTCTGGGAACCATTGCTCCAGTCACCACCATTTAAAAATATTACAGTGATCCACGCACGCCCACTTTTATAGCAGCATAATTCACACACAATCTTGGAATTCAGCACACTCTTGGGAGCAGCCTATGTGTCCATCAACAGATGATTGAATAAAGAAGAGGTGGGATTTATATATGATGGAGTGCTACGCTGCCATAAAGAAGGATATACTCGAGGCATCTGGAGGTAAACGGCCGCACCTTGAGACCATAACGTTGAGTGAAATAAATCAGGCACACAAGCTCAGACATCGCACGGCTTCTCTTATAGGGGAAACCCAAGCTACAAATAAAGAGCAGAATAAATAGGAAGTAAGCAGGTGGATCCTTCTCAAATGGGAAGGAGATCAAGAGATGGAGGGAGGGGGAGAGAAAGGAGGGACGGGAGAGAACGGGGCAAAAGGAGTTAAACTGTGTTATGTATGCGCGCCTACTCCAGCAAGGAAGGAAAACGCTGTGTACCGCAAACACTAAAAAAAAAAAAAAAAAAAAAAAAAAAAAAAAAAAAAAAGCATCGGTCCTATTGTTTCTTCTGTTTGTACCAAAACCTGAAAGGACCTATCGGCCTGCTGTGGAGAAAGAAAATGGCAGGTGGAAGCCGAATTCTCAGGAGCCCTGACTTCCCTGCTGCCAGGCTCAGCTGGGCCCGGAGGAAGAGTACGCAGCGCGCTCCGGCCTCATCGCCGCGGATGGTCCAGGGCTCCTCGCCGGCCCGCCTTTCTGAGGGACTTTCTCGGGG